ATAAAGGTTTTCAATAAAATGATGATGCAGCTCATCAAACACTAAAATTACACTGCAAATAAACATCCAACACTTAGGTGCAGCCTTGAAAACATGTACGTGACCTGTCGGCATCTAGTTCTTTGTCCTATGGATGTCAGTGCAGTCAAGGAGCTAATTTACTATAACAATAATTGCTATACCTAGTAGGATGAATTTGCAATGTCCGGCCCACAGACCCACGCTGTTTGATAAAATCCTCTCCAGTCAAGTCTAAGTTCTTGAACAACTGCGGTGTTCACTTACCCACAGATTCAATGCAGAAATCAAAACTTAGCTCAGAGGCCAGCTTCTTGCTTGACTTCAGCTTCCCTTGTAAATTCACAATTTTCACGAATTCTCAAAAAAAAGTACAAAATCAAATGTCAAAACCCATTGCTGCAACAGATCACAGACACCTTTAAATATAATATGACATTATATTATAATATCCTTGTCTGGCCTTTTGTAGTTTGTATAAAACAAGCCAAAAACATTTTTCTATTAAATATTAGGTACAGCCCTATGCCTGAAACTTTGTTAATAATTATCTTAGATAACTGCACACAACAGGGTTGCTCAAGGCAAGAAACCCTAATCCAATGCAATGTGCATGTTGAGAATTTAAATATACAAAAGTTGTCACTAGCTTCCTACTGCAATATTAACTTTTCATGTACCATTCAGTACGTATGAGCTTTTGTATTACTGTGTGTTGCACTGCTGATTTTATTTCTTACTGTATATATGTGGAATGTGTACATGTATCTCAATTCTCATCTGTAATTCTACATTCATTTAAATTTTTAAAGGACTACAAAGAGAAATGGAAAAAAGGAAAGCATGTTTTTTCTAAGGCAGTAACTGAAAAGACTGGGGGCTGGAATGGAACGGCCACTGTCTCAACTTTATCTAAAAGCACTGGTATTGCAATGGTGTTGTATAAACAGTACTGAAAAGTTAAAATAAGCTTATGGTAGACAGGCAAGTAACTATACTTTCTACCTAAGCAGGCTTCTCACAGCTCACTAAGCTGTCCACCAGGTATAGATTACTTACTGTCCAAGCAGACTAGAACTGTGTCTCTTTCCAGCTGTGTGACATGAATGGCATCCAACTGTTGATTGCCTGGTTAAAGGGAAACAAAACAGTTTATATCCTTTTAAAAAAAACTGAATTCAGCTCCCCAAGCCCTAGCACTTGCTCTTTACCTTTGTAACCTTCCAGGCACCCTTTCAATGTAAAGGATTTCTGTTCTTTTACTATATTGCATTTTACATTTTCTAATTGCTATGTGATCCCAGATATTGTAACAATAGCTTTATTACAGCACTATACATTAGGGCTGCGCGAAACAGCAGCGTTCCATTTCGACAGAATAGTGCTTCGTTTCGAGTTTCGTTTAGTTTTGAAAGCACTGTTCCATTTCGTTCCATCAGAACGGTTTTGTTCTTTCGATGCTTCGCCCATAGGCTACAACAGGGAAGCACGAAACAGCCTAACTTTGTCATTTCTTGCCCGAGTCCAATGAAACTTGCAGGGATGGTAGCCCCTTCTGAGGGCATGAAGCCTGCCAAGATTCAAGGAGATGGGTGCAGGGTTTTCTAGGAAACTGCACCTCAAACTACTGACAAGCAGGAGCCAGGGACCTGGAGCAGCGTCCTATGATCCAGCAGGCAGATTGAGGACCCGCACCCCCGGGAGAAGTCCAGCAGAGCCCCTGCAGCCCTCCCAGGGGTGCGGGCAGGCCCCCAATCTGCCTGCCGGATGACAGGAGACTGCTCCTGCCACCTGGGACTCAGCACTGAGGGACGGAGTCTGGCTGGGGGGAAGCGCCTCCTGCCACTGGGCTCAGTTCCCAGAGGAAACAACCCGGCTGGGAGAGGCGCTTCCCCCAGCCGGGCTCCGTTCCCAGCGCTAGGAAACTCAGCCTGGCTGGTAAAGATGCCTTCTCCCCACCAGCCTCAGTTCCCAGTGGCTCACGTGAAGCCCTGGGGAACTGAGGCAAGCGGAGGGAAGCACCTCCCCCACTCCAGGCTCAGCTCCCAGCAGCTCCCAGCCCCGTGGAAATTAGTCCTGTGGCGGGAGGTGGAGCGCAGCGCTGGCTCTGCCCGCCTTCTGCCACCAGGTTGAGCTCCACGGGGCTGGTGGAGCCGATCAGAGCGCAGCCCGGAGGCGGGAGGCAGGCAGAGCTGGCTATGCTCCGATCAGCTCCGTCAGCCCCGTGGAGCACAGCCCGGCGGGGGGAGCCGGGGAGAGCCAGGGCTGCGCTCCCTGCCGGGCTGAGCCACTTGGAGCACAGCCCTGGGTCTCCCCCGCCTCCCACTACCTGGCTGCTGCTTTGAAAGTCGAAATGTTTTGACTGGCCTTGTTTCGTTTTAAGGGTGTTTCGAAGCCCTTCGCTTCATTTCGATTGCTTCAAACGAAGCAGCTGGTGAGCTTCGCACAGCCCTACTATACATATTGTTGCAACAGCCAAGTAAGAGCTCATCCAACAGCTTCATTCACAAGGAGGAACAACAAAGAACAGAGAGAATCAGCACGTAATACTCCCCTCTTAACACAACTCTTTCCTTTGCTAGAATCCCTGTCTAGCGATGATGCTCCAGAGCAGCAGTTCTCAATCGCATTCAACTCAAGGGGCCCACTGCAAAATGCCAGCTCTTAGCTTCCATTCATTTTTTGACAACAGAAAAACAACAGAGCAAATCTGCTGCAGAGAACTCAGGAAGATCACAGCATGGCAGAATGGTTTTGACACTCTGGATCCCTATTTGAAGCCTCTGAGTTTATTTTGTGAATCCTAACAATGCTGACACCATGTGGCATACATACAATCTCAAGGTACCTTGGGGTGGTCTGGCACCCTGGTTGATAATCGCTGCTCAAGAGGGTGTAGGGTGTCCAAAGCAAAACTAAAAGGTTTAAATAATTAATATGCAAGCTTGCATAAGAGAGCAGCTAGAAAAGAAGAAATCTTTGTGGAAAGAATAAGATTAGCGGTGAAAAATGTCTGCAAGTGATCTAACAGCTTTGAAGAGAGGGGAGAGTTTTCTTGTGTGTTAATATCCCTGCAAGGTGATAACTGTCCATTGGAGGTGTGAGAAGAGACAAGAAGCATGCACTTAACTGAAGTTGTCTAGAGGGGAAGCAGCACACTGACATAACCCTGATAAGGAGAACGCTCTCTGTAGCCACACGCAGAAGGATCTAGATGAGTAGCTCGTGACCTGTCTTTAAAATCTACCATTTAATACATGGCATTTATAAAATGAAATTTCTTAGAAGAGGAAAATTAAATCAGAGCTGGGAAAACCACCTTAAATGGTTTGAAGGACAGCTGGTTAAGGAGAGGAAATTAAGTCAGTGGAAACAGAGGCAGGTTTCTGGGACAGTCAGCTGATAACCAGCTACATGACAGTGGGGGTGTCTACACGAGACGTCTTAATGCGCAGTGGACTGTTCTACTGCGCATTAGCGCGTCATAGCAAACCTGTACTGATGCGCAGTAGAATTAGTCTGCCTTTGCTACTGCACATGAGTACAGCTACTGCGCCTTTATCTAGTACCTCATATTAAAATGTACTAAATTTAATGCTTAGTAGCGAAGGCACATTAATGAACGTGTAGATGCACCCAGTACTGCTCAGATGACCAGGGCAGAGTGAAAAAGATGCAATCCAGGTTCACATGCTATCATGAGGCCTGTTGCAATATATGCATGTATGGTCTTGAGTGTTAGATAAAAGAATACAGCCGCTGGAAAAAATGCTGGCTTGATGAAGGTAAAATATTTGTGTGTTAGACAGAAAAACCTTACCTGCACCGATTTCTGTAAACCACGAAGAAGCAGAGTTCAAGTTGATTGTCTCAAATTGAACTACTTGATTTGGCTCTGTACCCTTGCTGATAGCTACACAGACCATAGGGTATTCCTGCTCTGGTATCACTAGCATTTCAAACACATTCAAAGGGCTTGGCAAAGGAAAATCAAAGTGCTGAAAAAAATTATGACAAGTTTAGACATTCCTTCTATCTAGGCATGTAGGGACCCCAAAACCTCACAAGCACAGAGTACGAAAGGTACCAAAGAGCTATTCTCCTTTCAAGCTCCCCTACAATTCAGACCACTCCTAAGAGTTATTTATAATACACAAGTGATAACACATGCCCCAGAGAATGTAATATTACTCAGGGTTCGTACTCTTCCTCCTCAGAATCTGCTACTGCCTGTTCTGAGCTTGATCCAACACTTCACTGGTTACTTTATACATTTTGGCTAATATAAGCTTGCCAAGCCAGATTTTCAAGTACTCAGCACTCACAAACAGGACTAAAAGCCCCCTGGAACACATTACGTCTATGGCATAATTGACATGCTAATCACACCATAAATAGTAACAGCGCCACATGCTAAGCTGATTTAGGTGCCAGGAAGTAGCAAACCCGCACATCAGGAGGCCTCAAACCTGCATGTGCAGCTAGGCTGCCAACATTGTTTTTAAAGGTGCCAGCATGAAGGTTTTAGACCTTCCAGTGCATAGGGATCTTTAAAAACTGCACGCCCTGGGACCCCCAAGATCAGGGAGAGATTCCCCAATTCTGGGGTCCTCAGCATGAAAGCCCATGGGTTTGCAGCTGCCAGGCGAGGAGAGTTGACTGACTTCCCCAGTTGCCATTTGCCAACCCATGCCCCAGGTTCTCTGCTCTGGCAGCTGTGCAACTGGGATCTGATCCCTGACCCAAACAATCGTGCCTCCTGCCATGCACCTGTGGTATGGCAGGAGGATCAAATGTTGGGATTGGGGATCAGATCCCACTGCACCATTAAATGAACGTCTGCCAGCACCCAAAGGGACCCACTCTTCCATCATCACATCTAAAATAGTTACCAGAACATTCCTTGTATTTACAAAAATAATGCAACGAGTAACACTGCGCGGTAAGAACAGACAGCCAAAACTGAAAGGCCTAAATAAATAAAACTCACCTTTATTAACATGAACTTCTGCATTGGCTCATACCACTGAAGTAAAACAATTCCAGACTGCAATGCCCCACACAGGTACTTGTGTCCTGTATATGGATTTCTTACTATTTAAGAAAAAAAGATTACATGCATACATTTGACCTGCTGCATCTGGAACTATTTAATTCATTAATTCAAAAGGATGTGGAGAAGCTTGAGAGAGTCCAGAGCTGAGCCATGTGCATGATCAGAGGGCAAGAGAAGAGGCCTAATGAAGAGAGGCTGCGAGCCATAGGACTCTTCAGCCTGGAGAAGCGCAGGCTCAGGGATAACCTGGTGGCTGCCTATAAGTATATAAGGGGATGTGCATCAGGATCTGGGGGAACGCCTGTTCGCCAGGGCACCCCAGGTCCAATGGTCACAAACTCCTCCAAGACTGTTTTAGGCTGGACGTAAGGAAAAACTTCTTTACTGTCTGTGCCGCCAAGGCCTGGAACAGACTCCCCCAGAGGTGATGCAAGCACCTACTCTGGACTCTTTTAAGAAATGTTTGAATGCTTATCTTGCTGGGATCCTGTGACCCCAGCCAACTTCCTGCCCTGGGGCAGGAGGGCTGGACTCGATCTTCCGAGGTCCCTTCCAGCCCGAATGTCTATGAAATCTATTATATTTCAAGTAAAACTGAAGACTGTAGTTTTTGGGTTTGGGGGTTTGTTTGGTTTGGGGTTTTTTTTGTTGTTGTTTTGTTTTGTTTTTTTTATAAATAAGGGAACTTTTAAAATACTAACCATTTCGACCTTGGGTTTATTACTTTGGTGACGTATTAAAGTATTTGCTCTGATTAGTACTATGTTAATTTCCAAATGAACTGGGGACAAATTCTCACTGAATTCTCTGTATTTTCTTACATATTAACACAACCTAATCTGTAGACTAACTCACAGAATATGAACAAAAGTTAACTGCATATGAATAATAAAAAATATTATTTCAAGAGATGGAAGAGAATGAGGGGCCTGAAATAGAAGGAAAGCAACAATATAAGCCAGCATCTAAACCAGATAATTTCCATCCCTTCCAAAATTTCTTTATGCTTCCAACATTATTAGTATTGTTTTTTTGTAACAATAGCCCCTATAGGCCTTTGTATTAGGCAGCATACACAATAAGAGCTGGTCAATGAAGAATCCTGCCACTATTTAAGTCAACACGATCTTGAGCCAGCCTTTAGATTACGGCTCCCTAATCGGAGTGCATTTCCCGACGTTCAGCAAACCCTGTTACCATGCTGACATAAGAACCAGCTTCAGGCTTTTCTTTGATCACACTTAGTTCCATTTTTCAGGACAGGACAAAGAGCAAGTGGCATAGTTGCAGTACCTTAATATTAGAGTCTCATCTTCTCTCCAGCTGATGTTAATTTTCCTTGACAATGCTAATAAAGCCTGAGTCTAAGTGTAAATTTTAGAGCACTCCCAATTATGGCTCTTAACCTGCAAACTTTGCTCTTAAAAGGTAAAATTTCCAGAAAGAGGCTCTGGTAAGAAAGGGTACAGGTAAGAGCAACTCTGAAACTGCCAGGGACAGGATTCAAACTTTCAATAAATAGCTGTCTTACCCTGCCACCAGGCTACCTGCAAACACTAGTTTGTAACAGCATTGTAGTCCCACTCCCAACATACAAATGTCTTCTCTAGCTTGTCCATTTGGCTCAAAAGCTACCCCCTAAACTGAATGTCAGTGATTTTTAACATGTTAGTTCCTTAAGGGGACAGTGGATGCTGCACATGAGCCGAGATCAAGCCAGCATCGGTGATGTCTGTTTGAGGAGGAACAGAACCATTGCTTGAATTTCTCAAGCAGGCAATAAATGTTCAGAATTGTAAAACTATAGAACGATCTTGGGCGCCACTGACTTTCAGTGAGATTTTGTAGCCCAAATCCCTTTTGATTTTTAATCATTTGCATACACTGCTGCATACATTTACAGTTAATAACTGGTGCTTAAGAACCACCATGCTGTATATTAACTTGCTATCTTGTTTCTAAACTTACAATACATATTACTTTTTATATAACTCAAGTCTGGTTGGCCTTGTAACATCCTGTGCAAAGAGTTCTTCATCATTTTATCACAAGGTTACAGAAGCTCAAAGTGAGATTAATCACCGAGTAGGAATCCAGATGCAATAGGCCATAACAATATCCCATATGTTCTTTCATGGCTCATTCATCCTTTCGCCTCCTTACTGAGGATTAATGAAAACTTTCACTCAGTGGTGGTGATTATTAATGAACACAATTTTCACTTAGAACTTGATTGGAAGAAACCGAATATTTTAAATCTAGACTTCAGAACATCCTACAACAGGTATTGACTGGGCACCAGTGACTCCAGCCAAAATAAAACTGGTGAAGAGAGCAAAAACAATGGTAAAGCTCCCATTGACTTCACTGGGATTGGGATTCCCCCCCATGGGGGGGGGGGGGGGGGGGGGGGCGCTGTGTTCCCTGGGGTGGGGGGTCCCCCCCCGGGGGGGGGGGGGGGGGGGGGGAAAGGCTCTAAAATTCATTATCAGGCTCCTGAACTACTCAGCAAAAATAAATCTGAGTGCAAAATACTTTTCTTCTAGTAATAAAAGCTCTACAGAAACAGGTTCACTTACCTATACAACATTTGTGGCATCCTTTTGTATCGGGAATCTTTGTTGTTAAGGCAAACTTCCTGAAATAACATTTATAAACGTATATGAGATTCAGAAAGTCCTATTTATGACCGATTCATATGGCTATATGGTAACAACATAGATGACATACAGTCTTTTAGAAATTATGTTCTTTATTTAACTTCTCTAGAAGATGAAGAATCGTACCTTGGTAATATTTTGTCTGGAAACCTATGTGTTTGAATATGAGCAGCTAATCCTGTTTTTTTGGCTTGTTCGAACAAAGCTATTAAGTTATGGGAGTAAAGCTGAAACGTTTTTCCTGTAAAACAAAGAAGCGTGATTGGTATCATTCCCATATGCTAGATAAAGGTAATTTCTAGCAAAAACATGCAATGATAATTACCTTCTAAAATGGGGTCCACAATAACGTTGAAGAAGCCAATCCAAAATGTAAAGAGAAATAAAACATGATTTAAATGATAATGCCTATGGTGGTAATATGACATTCAACTTTTAATGTTCATATTTAATAAGAGAGACAAGGATTGTTGCGAGTGATATCTTTTATTAGAACAACTGCATGGTTGGAATAGACTGTGTTTGGTACTGCATTCAAAAGCTTGTCAAGTCTTTCACATCCTGGCAGTCAATCCAATAAAACATATCAGCCACCACAATCCCTGCCTCTTGCACAATTCCTAGACCAACGTGGCTACAACATCACTCCAACAATATCATATTTGATAAGAACATGTAAGACAATATGAAAATTAGTTTCACCCATTTAATTTTAGATGGCTCTCCAAAAGTATGACCAAGCACCAATTTAATCATAACAGGTCACCAGGCTCTAATATTATAAATATTAAGTACAATTAAAATGCTGTCTATTGATGTATGAGCAGGTAACTAATCACCCATAAATAATGTAAAAGCTGAGACAGTGTTTATGCCCTACATAAATCTTCACTGGTGCCTGGTAGCATTAGCATTAATTGATATGCCACCAGCCTTCTGGAAGCTAATAATGGATGATGTCCAGATCCATAATACCAACGTGACTTGGATTATACAAGAAACTGTATGTTTATAGGCCTGGTGTGGCAGCGAGTCTGCACTCGCAATTAAGACTGACCATTTGCATATAGAAGTCTACTTAAATAGGACCGCAGAGAAAACCCCACATTTAAAAAGGATGCATCTGATGGGTTATTAATATTACACCCACGCATAGAATTCACCTTTATCATTCTTTTCTGTCTTAAATTAAACTCTCTGGACTCATCCAGATGTATGCTAAGAATCACAAGAAGGTCCACAACCAGTGAACACGATACCAAACTGTAGTGCACTATGGGAGTGATTTGACACCGCACCCAAGTTCTGAGACACCATTCTTTCCTCCATCGAGTTCAGTGTTTACTTAATTTTGTTAGGAGAAGTACGCTAACTTGGCCTTGGTATCTTGGAGACCTAGAACAGATGTTCAAGATATTTTGCCACTGAAAATGGGCCCCTGACACCGCTCAGAATAGAGTTTGCATTCTGTGGTTAAATGATCAGGCTTCTAAGCTTTTCAAGCAAAAAATGGTAGGAGACTATAGCCATATTTAATTGAGTGCTACACCTTTGGTCTGTTATTCTATTCAGAGCACTTCCAAAAGGCAGAGTCAAATACAACTTTATATGAAAAGAGAAAACAAAAAAGGAAACAGAGGGCAGAATTATTTTGTTCTAATGTTGTTCATCTAAATTGTGCGTTCGGAAAAAACACATTGTCACGAATGACTGCTTTGTATATTCTCGTATTATTTAGCAAGTTTTACTGCTTTTCTATTAACTATACATACCTGACAATGACATTAAGGTATTATTGATAACATACAGCCAGGTACACTTCCGGGGGAATAACTAAAAGAAAGATGATATTTCCATGAAGTGAACAGAAATAGACATGAGTTAATTATGCAGGTCCTCCCCTGCATGCGTTACCCAGGCTTAGGCAGAGATTCCACTTCCCAGCTTACTCAACATCAGAGAGACTAATCCCAGGACTAGAATATAGGTGTTTCAGGGCATAGCTTGCTCCAGAAGGACAAGAAAAGAAAAAAGGGAGGTGATATAATACATATAAAAAATGTATATGCTTGTAGTAAAGTTCAGAAGACAGCAAGAAGCAGACCCGTTGAATGCTACCACAGTAATGCCAACTCTCATGAAAAAATCACGAGACTCCTGATTTCCAAGTCAAATTTACTCCGATGCATGATCTCCTGATAGAGAGATCAAATCTTGGGATTTTTTCTTCGGTGCATGTAGAGCATGCCAAGCTGGAAAGTCTGTGGAGGGGAAGGGCCGGGGGGTGTAGAACAGGACCCCCACAGTGAGAGGGAGTGGGGCACGGGCTGGGGTAAATGGAGCCCTGGGGCCAGGGAAGGCATGGGGGGCACATGCCCCCCAGATTTGTGCATGGGGCAGAGGTGGGCTGCCCACTGTGGGCTCTGCACCCTGCTGCCTTTGGCCTGGGAATGGCACACACACACTTCAAAAATAGCATCTCCCGATTTACATGCCAAATCTCTTGATTTTTTAGTTTGTTGCATGCTTTTTGACACGGTGGGGTTGGCAATACTGCTACCAGGTAAAACCAAAAGGGTAAAAGAACCAGGGTGATGCTACAGTAAAGGTCTACTATAGATTCCTGATCCAGAGAAGTAAGTAGTAGTTATTTTCTCAAGCAATTACCAGAAGCATTTGAAGGTCAAGACCTGGTGGTAATGCTGAACTTTAAGTTCCTAGCTAACTGTTGGAAAAGCAATAAGGCAGGATACAGTCCATAAAGTTGTTGGCATGCATCAAGGGTAACTTTTTTCCAGCGGCAGAAAGAAACTAGCTGGAATGCACTGCTTAGGCTCGACTCTAACAGGAGGAACAGGCTGAGGAGCCGACTATGGAGAACAAGTTGGGTGAAAATGATCACAAAAATAATACAGCTCATGATTCTAAGGGAAGGAAAGAGCAAAAGCAGCAAGATAAAGACAGTGGAATAAAAAAAAAAAGCAGACTAGCAAAACTCGGGGTTACAGGCAGGTGAAGTCCCAGGAGAGGGAATTCAGGGCAGGAGAAGAGGGGAGTGTTCAGGAGTGTGGGCAGTTTTTCTAAGAGGCAATATTAAAGGTGTGACAGTAAGCTGTCCCAGAGCGAAGGACAGATAGCAACGATAGCAAAAGATCAAGAAAACTGAAATCAGCAGCTCTGTCAGGACTTAAACATTATGGAGGAATTTTACAAAAAATGGAAACAAAGACATATTGCTAATGATGAGTATAACAGAACAACATAAGCAGCTAGAGACAAATGAGAAAAGCTCAGATAAAATACAAGTTAAAATGACTAAGGGACATTAAAGGAAATGAAACGTTGCATAAATAAGATGAAGGAAAGTATAGATCCCTTACTTAACAAGGGATAAAAAGGCTGAAGTGTACAGTGCCATTTTTTTTCTTTTGCTTATCTTCATTAAAAAGTTACTTGTGACCAGATACTTGAACAAATTAATTGAAAGGAGGGGTTAGACGAGGCTGGACTAGAGAAAGAGTGGGCTAAAGAATACTTAGACACGTCAGATGTAGTCAAGCCAGCGGGCCCTGATCAAAAAAAAATTACAGAGTACTTTAAGTACTCGAGAGTACTTAAAGGGCAAGTAATCTTTGAACCACTGGAGATTATCTCCAAGAATTCACGGAGGAGGGGAAAGTCCTGGACTGGAGAAGGCAAACGCGGTACCTGCCTTTAAAACAGAAAAAGGAGGAGCTAGAAGATGACATCAGTCACAGCTGTTGATACTCGTAAGATTACTGGCACAAACTGCTAATAATAATGCATAAGTAGGGGTCTGCCTAACTCGAGGAGGTGGCCGGCCGATTTCACCGGCTGATCCTGGCAGACCCCCGCATGCCTCTGGCCGAGGGGCCCCAGTGGACCCACCCCTTGCTGCTGATTGGCTGTGAGGGCTGTCCATCATGCAGTCTTGCCCCTCACTGTGATGTGTGGGAAGGGGTGGGGCAACATAACAGATAGCCCTCTCAGCCAATCAATGGTGAGAGGTGGAGGTGTGGGGGCGGGGGGGTAGCAGCAGCTATCTTGGGCTACCCTGGGTGAGCGCAGCTCCCGCTTCCCCCAGGCCAGTTGTGCAGCCAGGCCATAGCGCTGCGAGGACTGTTGGCTACCCAAAGGGGAATATTTTATTTTCAGTACGTTGGGGTTGGGGGGGGGAGGAGATTTTGCAGAAATTGACTGCTTTTGCAGGTGATGCTGGATTTAATAATTTCTGCAAAATCCACAAAATCACAATTTCAGTAGGTCCCTACATGTAAGCACCTAGAGGATAATAATCATAGAAAATGATGGTTTATTCATAGATTCACAGATGTTAGGGTCGGAAGGGACCTCAATAGATCACTGAGTCCAACCCCCTGCATAGGCAGGAAAGAGGGCTGGGTTCAGACGACTCCAGCCAGATGCCCATCCAACTTGGAAGGGACCTCAGGAGGTCACCAGGTCCAACCCCCCGCTCAAAGCAGGACCAGCCCCAGCCCCAACTAGATCATCCCTGGCAAAAAATAAACAGAACTGGACACAGGACTCCAGATGTGGCCTCACCAGTGCCAAATAGAGTGGAATAATCACTTCCCTCGATCTGCTGGCAACGCTCCTACCAAAGCAGCCCAGGATGCCGTTAGCCTTCTTGGCAACATGGGCATCCTGTTGGCTCACATTCAACTTATTGTCCACTGTAACGCCAAGGTCCTTTTCTGCAAAACTGCTGCTTAACCAGTTGGTCCCCAGCCTGTACCAGTGCATCGGATTCTTCTGTCCTAAGCACAGGACTTTGCACTTGTCCTTACTGAACTTCATGAGATTTCTTTTTGTGCAATCCTCCAATTTATTTTGGTCTCTGAAATCTAACCCTACCCTCCGGCATATCTACTATTATGTTCAATATTTTCATCAGTGACCTGGAAGATGGGATGGAGCGCACCCTCAGCAATTTTTCAAATGAGTTAATAGAATGCTGGAGGGTAGGGCTAGGATTCAGAGAGACTTAGACAAATTGGAGGACTGGACCAAAAGGAATCTCATGAAGTTCAACAAGGACAAGTGCAAAGTCCTGCACTTAGGACAGAACAACCAACCCCATGCACCGGTGCAGGCTGGGTGCGAGTGGCTGGGCAGCAACTCTGCAGACAAGGACCTGGGGGTGACAGTGGACAATACGCTGAGTATAAGCCAACAGTGTGCCCTTGGTGCCAAGAAGGCTAACAGCATCCTGGGCTGCATTCGTAGGAGTGCTGCCAGCAGATCGAGGGTGGTGATTCTTCCCCTTTATTCAGCTCTGGTGAGACCACATCTGGAGTCCTGTGTCCAGTTGTGACTAGTCCTGTGTCCAGTGGTACTTTTGATTGATCACAGTCATCTTTTGCAGACCCCTTAGATAGAGACTGTGGAGCACAGGCTGAAAACCACTCATCTAGACCAACACTACTTTGTTACACTCCGCCTGCTCTGCTGAAGCAAAAGCAGCAAAGCATATAAATTCCTTACACTAAGACTAACAAAAACTGTTTCTTTCACATAATTTCACTAGATAACTTCAGATCGGTTTAATTTGTGGCCCAAACTTTTAGGTTCATCCATCAGGCCCAGAGACAGGATGAAGCAACGCAGAAAAGCAGAATGGAAGATTAACCATCTTCATTCCTAGAGTGAATTAAGCAGTGGTGACCAGTGGGTGCTTAGTGGTACCGAGGGCTGAGACAAAGCAGGGCCTCAAAAGGAGGTGTGGATTTAAAAGTAAGCAGATGCCCAAGGAAAGCAGAAGAAACAAGGAGAGGGGGAGAAAACAAGGGATCATGGGTTGTAGCCAGCTAATAAATATTTACTTGCTGCAGTTTTGCTAGCTAACTGAGCTGCAATTGCATGTAGGTCATGCACAGTGGAGGGGTAGTGGCACCATCTAGTGGAGGGAAGATGGAGAAAGAAGAGGCAGGCTGGAGAAGTAGAACCTTCTCTAGAAAAAGAAGGGCTTAGGAAGGATGGAGAGCTCCAGGCAACACTTTGAGCTGAGTGCAACGTCCTCAGTGTTACTTGTGCCTTGTGGCAAAGTGTCAAATTTGTCCGGGGGGGGGGGATTTCTAATTTTAAGACCCAGAGTGCTCAGTCTGAGGCATCACAGCTTGCACTACAAAGCACAGCACCCCTACCAACATGCTCAAATACAAGGATTTGCCATCATGTCACTTTGCCTGCACAATAAATTGATGCTTACCTGCTCCATTGTTGCTTCATGAAGTTCGTTCAGATTCAATGTATAAATACCTTCCTCGGTTCCAAAAATAATGTATTGATCTATAAAAATCGAAGACAAATGGTTTAATCCAAAAGCGGAACACCGGTTTTATAGCAGACAGATTTAAAATACAAAGGGGAAAAGCATCCCTACCTTTTGTATCTGGATGTATCCATGATGTTGCACAGTTAATCTTCAGAGGGCAGCCATCAAATACTTTTGAAAAACATGCTCCCATCTAAAAGACACCAAAACTTGAGGCTGAAACAAGTTTGCAACATACAACATCTGTCTTCATCAGAATTGAGCAGGCAGTTAAGACAGTTTCACACTAGGGGTGTGTGAAGCGGTCCCTATTTGATTTGGATCCGGCCCAAATCAGGGACAGTGATTTGATTCGTTGATTTGGATCACTGTCCCCGATTTGATTTGGCCGAATCCGAATCTGAAAATTTGATACCAATTTGGAGAATCAGAGATTCGGACACAGACGCAGCTTTAAATATTTTTCTGCATATCTTGAGGTAGCAGGTGCAGCTTGCGAATGCTGTGATGCTGGGGTGCCTGGAGCACCCAGACTGGAAGTATATCCAGTCCACTTCTGGGTCTGCTGGGAGTGGAACCTCCCCATACCCAGGAGGCACCAGTTGCTGAGCTGGGAGGGCGTGCAGGGCTCCCCGGAGAACCCAGAAGTGCTTCTGGTCCACTTCCGGGTCTGCTGTCGAGTACGCCAGGGAGCCCCCCGCACTCCTGTGGGACACTCCATGTGCCCCAGCATCGCAGCATTCACAAGCCCCTGCTACCTAGAGGCATGTAAAAAAACCATGTAAAATTGTCTCTATGTCTGAATCTCCAAATCGATTCAGAGGGTTCCACTTCGATTCGGAGAGATTAAAGGGTTCTCCGATTTGATTCACAGGATCTGGCTACTGAATTGGGCCAAATCTCTGCCGAACTGAATCAGGAACTGAAGCTTCGCACAGCCCTATTGCACACATCACAGTCTGTCTTTCTTCAAAGACACAAATTTATTTTAGCATGACCTGATGCAAAATTCTTCTCCAAGCGCACTACAATACAGCCTCCCAACCTTCCTGTTTTTACTGTGCTTCCCCAGAGGTCCACCAACAGTGATCCAAAATTACATGTACAACTTTAAGTGGAGAAGTTGCAAGACAAACATTGAAGTCTTTTGGTGATAAATAGTATATTAGTATAGTAAAAGCAAAATAAACCAGAATCTGAAAAAAAGTACTTTTTATGAACAGTAAAAGATTATTCACTGGAACAAACCAACAAATAAGTGATAGATATCTGCAGACTTTTTGAAAGATATTCTCTACAAGTCTTTAGACTCGGAACGGGAATATCCTGATGAAATGTAATGGCCTCCGATTACAGATGAGTGATCTAATAGTCTCTTTTGACCTTAGATTTTCTGAATTGAAACAGATGATTAAAAATCTCATTTCAGGTCAAGTAAGATTTCTTACCAGCACCTCTGGTGTTGGCGGCAGGCCATTGATCGCTGGCCTCTGTGGAAAAAGAGAAATTGTGAAATGCTTCCCACTTGTTAATTTAAAAACAGCACATTAGGTTTTCAGAAGTACACTTGTCAGTGAAATAAGGTAGGACTCAAGTGTTAATAGTACTCAATACTTGCCGGAAAGTCTCGCTTATCTTTTTTCCGTGGCAGCTGGGGGATTTGTCCAGAACCTTCTGTATTTTCTTCTATGAGTTTCATCATGCTACCTCCATTTCCTGAAACGAACCCCTCATGCAGTTTTTAATGAGTAGATGACAACACAATTAAATGCATATAACACTGCTACCTAAATGCCTTTCTCTCTTCTCTGTTTTATGCTACAGAGGATAACAGAGTTTGGAAAGGTACCATATGTGCATCTCAGCCAGCTGAGCTTTTGCAAGAAGCATGCTACCATCAGTTATGGAAAGAAACCCATATTTGCTGCCAGTTCTTGAGCCAAAGGAGGATGGAGCCAGAGCCACAGCAACATGCTCAGGGCACAAGGCAGGACTACCTCTCACTGCTCCACTGGACTTCTGGGGTCACAAAAGATAGTACCGAGTGGGTCTAAAAGAGTCCATTCAGCACCCCTGCGCTAGAAGAAAGGTCTTGAACACAAGCCCTGATGCCAGGACTCACCAGAGCGCAGCACACATGGGAAAAGAAGCTATAGTTAAGGAACTACACCTATTAAAACAACTCTCCATTTCAGATGTCTTTTTACAGGAAACAAGTCCCTTTTTGAACCTGTAATTTCTTTTATTTACCCAGGTCACTGTATCTAGTCGTAAGTAATCCCGGGCTGCTGATGCTGCTGCTGATACCGATGGGGGAAGGCTCAGTTTGCGGCCCGCACACTGGAATACTCTGTCTCCTGTGAGCTGAGGGGGCTCTGTTTTGGGAGTCAGGAAAATGCTTTATTGTCTGACATCTCTCATCGTCCGGAAGGTTTTCTTCGGGGTAACTGTTTATCCTTGGCTGCAACAGATGGGATATGGGAGGCTTTTAATAGAAAGCAAATAATGGTATTTGGAAGCATGAAATCACCACACATTAATTAAAAGGCAAACAGCTTTTATGCAGAAGATTTATCATCATTTTAAGAACTGACAGCAGAGTAATCTAGTATAAAGAGCTATTCCTTTTCTAATTGATTGTGAAAAATATCGGGGTACTGCCAGAAAGAAAATGACTTTCAGGATGCTCCACCCACACAGCTTGTCCTTTCAAAGAGAAAAACCTCTAAAAGCCACTTGAGCACACAATCTACAAAGCTTGATGACATCCACTATAATCCTAAAGAGATCAACAGGATGGCAGAGGGTTCAAGTCATTGTAAAACAAGGCTCCTGGGTGAAGATTCCCTCCCATTTGTAGTGATCAAGCCAATAGGTTTACAAACAGACGGAGAACACCAGATGGAAATATTGCATCACATAAGCTTTTTCATTCTACAAACTCTTTTTTAAAACGTGGCAGCGACTTACCTTTGGAGGTAGTGGAGGTGGCCCCGCTCGCTTTAGGGTTGATCTAAAACAAAAAGGTGCGGTAGCTTCTCAGATATTTATATAAGCACAAGCACAACTAGGATTGCTTGAAACAGCAAAGCCTGGGACGAGGAAGATGAGATATGTGCACAGAACAGAGTGACCTCTGGCAGACATGGGTTAAAGTAGACATACAATAGGAGGGTCAGGAAAGCCAGTTAACATTGATTAGTAGTGATTTTCTTTTAATGAAATGCAGCTTTTTTCACAAAGATAAAGTTAAAAAACATCTTTGAAACAAAGTCTAGTTGAAATTAGCAAAATTAAAATGAACGTGAAGACAGCTACTCTTGACACTGTGGTCCTCTCGCATGACTTTATTTTTATCTCTACAAAAATCCCTCCCAACAATGAAAATGCTGCATTTCTGGCTCAGCCAGTGAGTCATGTCACAAAGCAATGGCTTCTCAAATTCCTTAAGGTCACAAGGAATTTGTCTTGTAAAAATTAGCCTCGCTTCTACTGAATGTTTGATTTGAACAACTAAAGAACCACAGCTATTTGGCATGGCTTGTCGTTTTTTTCCAGAACAAGTAACGGTTGGAAGAATAGGGGCACTACATATATGCTGGCAGAGCTCTGCAGGAACACTTGCACCATAGTGGACTGTACTTGGCCTGACCCTTATTAGTTAAAGTATCCTCTCATTCTCACCTCAAGCCTCTTCAAAATAACAGCAGATTCATTGCTCACTCTAATAAAGTACCACGAGGGAGAAGGGAGGAGAGTTCTGCTCTTATGTTGCTCTACTCCCATTATCTTGATGCTCAAATAGAGACAGGCGTGCATTAGTTATGAGAGCAACTAGCCTTTTGCTTTCATGAGTAATAAAATCACTTGCAACATTTTAAGGAAAGAGATTTTGCCAGCACACTAATTGCTTAAAGAAAGCCATAAAGAATAAAAAAAATCCAAAAATGAAGGAGGTCCACTCACTCTTCAATATCTTCACTGCCATCGCCAAATTTTGTAAGCGGTCCCCTAGGCAAAACGTTTATAAAAATAAGAGGCCCACTTTAAATTGTAAAGATCTGTTCAGTCAAATTTCATCACTGCTGCAGTTGTTTCACACTATAACTCCCCACATCCCATTCCAAACACAAAATACTTTTTTTCTTCCCCATTGCATTCTGCCTTGGTTTTTTAAGTTTGCACATTTTTTCCCCTAAAGGAATAGTGATTTAAGCTCTCTTACATTTAGACACTGCTGTGCAAATACCACAAGCTAATCTCAGACCTCTCTCTACCAGATATATTTAGATCATGTTGCAGTGCTTAATGACATGTACAGACAAACAATGGAAGATGGAGAAAGTTAGTAGGAAAAAAAAAAATGTAGAAAAGTTTTTCTGCAGAAAACTGCAGGGAGCTTCCCCATTTTCATGGAACATGGCAAAGTCTTTCACAAAGCATTTCTACAATGTTAAAGACCTTTTTGTTTCCAACCTGATGTAGAGTCAAAAAGCAGAGCGCATAAAATTCCATGAACTTTAATTGAATATTTCAATTTTGAAAAACGACGCAATGAATTTCAATTTGTCTCACATTTGCGGCTTTGAAGAAAGCCAAGTCGTAAACATTCAGTTTCTCACAATCCAACAACAATACCAATGCTCCTGTGTCTATGGAGAGAATAACTGCTCCCCATATGTCTAACAAGCCCCTATTATGCCAGTGAGTTTAGGGAAGACCCGGCCTCTCCTGCGAACAATTCTGGAGGCGTGTGTGCATGTACGATTTACAGCTTTCCCCTGGAACTCAAGATATCCACAGCCCAGTAACCCCAACTTGCTTTGGAGGAGTACAATTACAACAGAGGAGTGGTACAGGAATTTGCTTTTATTTTTTTTGGATAAAATAGGGTAGAACACCAAAAGCAGCAGACACGCACCAGTATCACAGGCTCCATCATTTATGAGTGCCTAGTTATCCAAACCCCTGCGACAAGCATGTTTAATGGGGTTCCATGAAACGTGGATCCATTTATATAACTACTGGGAAAAGCAGATTTAAAAACCCTGAAACTTTGCATGTTAATCATCTGCCCTGCAAGCTACTTCTGATAGGGACCAAAACACCTGCTAGAGGCTGAGAGTTGTCTGTCACTGCCAGATAGGAACTACTGATAACAATTCACTCATTAACATTAAAGAAAATGCACAAAATATTAAAAAAAACTTAAGATGAAGAGAAGAAACAAAGATCCCCTCTACTCATTACACACATATGATACAATTACGCAGTTAATTGAGCAATTAATGTAGACTGGTACACATGTAAATTAACTATGGTGCCTTGAAAAGGTCCAACCAGCTATAAGGTTCTTGCTGGAAAATGTGTAGAGTAACTTTATAGCTGGTTTCTATCCAGCTTTAATTTGCACATGTAGCCTGTGCCTCTGCAGCCCTGTCAGCTGACTGGAGCTGACAGGGGGGGTCCACGTGCACCTGTGAGCTCCCAGCTGATGCTGGCTCCCACCCATGGGAGCACATGCCCCTGCAGCTGGGAGCCCCATCAGCTGACAGGGCCTCCAGCTGTGGGCGTGTACCCACTGATCTCCCCGCCACAGGGTGCATGGTGTGCCCCCATGGCTGGGAGATCTCAGGAGCTGATCTGCCAGCCATGGGAGTGTGTGGGGTGCTCCTGCAGCTGAGAGCCCTGTCAGCTGAAGGGGCTCCTGGCTATGGGAACTTCCTTCTTTCCAGTGCACAGGGAGCCCAGGATCATGCTCCTCTTGCACTGGTAATCCCATCTGCGATCCCACAATCACGCCTTCTGCCATGCAGGTGTGGCATGGCAGGAGATGCGATTGTGTAGATCGTGCATTAGATCCCACTGTGCCTTTACCTGCCTGTGTAGAGGGGCCCAAAGTGACGAGCCGATTTGATCTCGCATAAGTACAAATGGTGCTTTGTCCCATGCCTATAAAGCCAAGCCCTGAGTCACGCTGTAAGTCAGTGTTATCTCTGGCATAAGCTAAACCACAGAAAAAACAGCTGACCCCATTTCTCAAACCAGCCCTTTCTTTACATTTATGGTATTACCAGAATTCCCTGGCTCAGAAGGGATAAGCATTTCCTGTTTATCCTCCTAAACAGAAACTGAGCTCCAAATTAGCGGCAGACGAACTCATGGTCCTGTGACTTTGCAACCGCTCCCCCTTTCAGTCAGAAATACTGCTTAATAAAGAACACAGCTACTTCCAGATTTATGGCCTTTGCTGCAGCTGCTCGTGGCAGCATTTGATGCCGTTTTATTACGTTGCATTAGGCAACAGAGCCAGCGCTAGGAAATCAAATTAAAATCCACAAGGTACTTTTGAAGGGCTGGGAGTTCACTACTGGGAAAGCGGAGCTCCCAGAGTGCTTGGCTTCCCCACTGCTTGACCCCGGAGACTCCAGCTGCCTGCACAACACCCCAGGCAGACACGCAAGGCTCTCCAGCGTTAGCCAGGCAGGGTGATGCAAACAAAACAAGGAAAGGGGGAAGAAAAGGGCTCCTGTTACCAGGGAGAGAAGGGCAGGCAGGGCCTAGAGCACTTCCGTGACCTGTTCACTGTCACAGGAGCAGTAGTGGGGAGAAAAGAAGAAAAAACAATGTCCTACACCTCAAAACAATGGACTCATAAGTGTACGTGACAGGCTGAGCTGCCGGGGGAGCTGTAATGTCAGTGCTGAGCTATACACAGAGGTCATTTGCAAAAAAAGTAAACACCAAAGTTTATTGTGCTCCGACTGCCTCCACATGAAGAAGAGAAAAGAGGCCCTTCCAGCCAGACAGGGACTGAGAGCCCCAGAAAACGACAGGCTTTCCTGTTCATCTGGAACTTCACTAAACTTGCCTCTTTTGGGTTGTAAGTTCAAGAAATCACCTTAAAAAGGCAGGATCTAGCTAGTCTGCAGCAAGAGGCAGCTCTTTACAGCTACCTGGTTTAAGTCAGGCCCCGTCTTCAGAAGGGCTGTGCTGCCTCGCTTCAGGATTGCCTTTGGCACGCAGCACACTAACTTGACCTTTTCTTTCCCTGACGTTTTAAATCCCTAGTCATTAGCTGACTATATTACAGAACATACTGCACTGATAACGGACACAGCACAGAAGCACTCACATAAACACATCTGAAAGTATTAAATCAAAGTCTCTGAAAGCCAGTTCTTCCTTTACTTACTTGCAAAGACCTGACTTTAGCATTCTGCATGAGTCTTGCAACAGAACGCCACATCCCAACCACCAAAGCAGTGCAGTACTGCAAGGCCAATGCAGAGCCCTGAACTGAGCTCTTTGAAGGCAACTAAAAGAAAAACTGCTTTCAGTTATTTCAGTGAATGTGTGTCTACATTTTCTATATATTCCACCACGGACTCAGGAGCTTTGCAGACCAAAAGAAATTGTTCATAGATGCCGTTCATCTTTGAAAGGGATCAGGATGCACAAACACAGTAGTTCTTGCTTATGAGCTAACCAACTGGATAACAAGGACATTATCTTTAATATTATACTTAATATGAGCTCTACCTATATTTTGTTTTACCCTGTCAAAGGACATAACCATTCAAACACCCTCCCACCCCCGGCCACCCACCATGATTTGAAAGAATACTTTCAAATGCAGCATAAAGACATGGCAATGCCACTGAATGATATACTTACTTGCTGCTGCTTCCACCATCAACAAAAGGACTCCAATGTGAAGCAAAGTCTGCACCTCCTGCCACAATCTGAAGATGCAGAAATTTCAGTTCAACTTTTTTTTTGTTTTAAACTTACTTGAAAGAAAAATGTTCCCTAACACTTCCATAACAGTTCTGGAGCCAGGGAGGTGCCCAAGAACTACAGAATGACTCAAAAGCAGCGAAAGACCATTCATATTCAACTTGTGTTTATTATTCCGATTATGAAGTACTTACTCAATAAAAATACCGAACGTATTTTAGAGTTGGGCTTGAAAACTGCAGCTGGAAAAAGTGTCCAGTACCAAATGGGTGACATACGGTACTGAAGCAAAGCTCTCGGATAAACTCAAAAAGGATAATTTTTTTCATCTAGGGAACTGATAGAAGGCAACTACTCTCAGAGCCCAAGCATCCCAAGAGATCACACTGTAGCTTCCAAAACTTAGGGGAAGTACTTCCAGTAGAGACTGGGAAAGTACGAATGCCGCTGGTGACACCTCTTCTGAAATATGTACAGTTCTGGTTTTTTATGTTCAAAAAACAAACAGAAAGTCAAACTGAAACCGGTTCAGAAAAGGGCTACTAGAATGATAGGGGAATTAAGAGCCTATCTGGGGAGATGAGACTAAATCACCTTTTTTTTTTGTTTAGCCTAGCAAAATTAAGACTGAGGGCTTTGATACATCCGAATTGGAAACACAAAGGCCAGAGAAGACTTATTCACACTAAAGGACAATGCTGGCATTAGACCAAATGTGTATAAACCAGCCATGAATACGTTTAGGCTGGGAATGATAAGGGTGTTCAGAGAAAGGCAGTTTGGGAGCAGCTTTCTAACTGGAGAACTGAACACAAAACTAGCTAGTACTAAGCTGGAGCTTGATCAGCTGATGAGAGGGGCTGTATGACATGGTTGCCTGCAACAGCTGGGGACTGAACTCAATCATCTGGTCCTGCATTCTCATATTCCTAAAACTCCAGCTCTCTGAGGGCTTGTCTGCTTCATACTCTGGCCATCGCGAGCAGGTGTCATGTTGCCCTTTTACTGGAGGGCGGCAACTCCCAGTCCCCTGGACCATTTTCACCAGTGATGGGTAGAGGAGCTCCCAAGGGATGTTGTTGATGCAGCAGTTGTAAAAATTATCGTGGAGCCAATAAAATTAAGATTTTCATCAGGAATCAGATCAGTTGGATTCAAATGCAGTTACTTTCCCCACAAAAATGGTGTTTGTGCTGTTGCTGTTTTATATAGGCTGCTTGGGGCATTTGTCTCCTTATCACTTGTGCCCCTCCCAGACATGGACTCATTTAACATGACAAGTACAGGGATTATTACTGGTGGTGCTCAATGATTAAGCCCCCAGGGTGCTCACCTAGGAATTGGAACAATTGAGTGATCTGAGAAGGGCTGAACTGGCCAACTGGAATGTAGCTTCAAACAGCTGGATCCTAATTTTCATTAAGAGCTGAGTTACTACATCTCCAAATGAAATCAGTGGGAGCTGCTGGCACTCAGCATTTATAAAAACTGAGTCCAAGTCCACAGATACTTTCCTCCAGAAGAATGCGAGTTATCTGACCTCAAGTAAACAGATTCCATTGAAATGAAGAAAACTGATAACTGCTGCGAATCAGAACAAATAGCAAGGGGCACATAATGAGGCAAAAGGGTCTGGATGTGAGATGGCTGTGCTCTGGACCAATAGCACTGGGAGGTGGGGTGAGCTAAGGATTCAAACTCAGAATGCTCTCTTCACATTCCCAAATTAACTGGTGCATTTCATTTATCATGAGTAAGACCCTCTTCTGCATGAAGCATAGAGGGCAATTCATTCCCTCCAAAAAGTCCCGATTGTCTAAAAACCAAGACTTGCCTTCTCATGACTCCTTACGCTTCTAATGCATGTTACTTAGCAGAGTTGAGGCATCAAACAATGGAGACACTGTGATTATAATGAAAGATGGAAAACCAAGCACATATCTTACCATTTCATCCCGAGCTTCTGTTTCTTTCCGTAAGGGAGGCTCAAACTGCAGCTTGTCAACTGAAAAATATTACATTTTCTACATTAAGACATGTAACATGCCAATGACATGCTCCTAAGTCTATTAAACCAAGAACCATATTGTAGCAGGCAAAAAATCCCCCCTATGTCACAAAGTTACACAGAGCTTCATTTTAATTTGGCTATGAAATTAGACTGTTGTCTGAAATGCCAATTTTTTTTTTTAATGCGGTCTTCAATTTCTAAATGCTTAGACTTGCAATGTAACCACCCATGAAAAGGAAAGTAAAAGTACCATTAAGAGTTTCTGTTTAACCGAATCTAAAATGCAACCACTTAAAATCTAATCTAATGATTGAGTTAGGCTCGGAAGCGACGAGAGACGCACGGGTGAAAGCTCGCTGCGCCCCCGCTCCCCCGAAGCCCCCCAGAAGCCCCCAGCAGTCGCGGAGCCCCCCGCCAACCTCCAGCACAGCCGGGGG